CTACTCGTTCGTCGTCATTCGCCGAAGAAGTTTTTTGAAGACTCTGTGTATTGTTGAGACTTGCCGTCGTGAACACGTGGAAAATTTTACGAAAGTGCATTGTCGCAGGAAAAAGGCACAACGCGTCGAAAGGAAGGGCTGGCGGCGTGTTCAAAGCTTCCTTGGCACGCCGAGTGATGCATCTTTGTGCCTTCGCACGCTTGGATACCGGTCAAGAATTGACGCCGCGCCAAAGTTCTGAACGTGTGTCGCGCGTAGATGCCTTTAGATCATTTATATATATCGGCCACGGAATTCTGGATCGTCCAGCTGTTCCGGTGAGTTGCTATCAATAAAAGGGGGAGATCTGTACGTGTTCTTGTGTACTATATTAACCATGGCTATGTCCCAAATCTACTCTAATAGATTCCGTGGGAGCACGAATAGGGCAACGTTGTGGAGCCAGGGGGGTTTTCGAAAGCAAAAGTACAAGACGGCGAGAATGGAAATCTTTGAAGCGCGGCCGATATGGTCGTGTGCACTCTGCTGACCAATTACAATTAGGCGAGCCGCGCTCAAACGTCAAGTGCAATTAAGTAGGTTGATAATAAGCCAGCACTGATCAGTGATGAGGAGCTGTTGTGCACGGTATTGTGTAAATCGTCTAAGGACGAAAAAAAGACGTACCTTCCCCCCATCTTCCGTCGCTAGTGGACGCTGGATTAAGCTCGTTCCTAAACCGCGAGGGGAAAAGACGCTGATCCAGAGGCACGAACAGCTTCACGCACATTGCACTCGCTAGACACATACACACGGCGTCGGTTCTTGGTCGGTATCCAAGTGTGCGAAGGCACAGGGACACGGCACTTCGGCGTGCCAAGGAAGCTTTGAACACGCCGCCAGCCCTTCCTTTCGACGCGTTGTGCCTTTTTCCTGCGACACTGCACTTCCGTAAAATTTTCCACGTGTTCACAACGGCAAGTCTCAACAATACACAGAGTCTTCAAAAAACTTCTCCGTCGAATGACGACGAACGAGTAGAAAACGTGTCCACAGCACGCTGGAAAGCCGCAGCAAAGGCTAGCAAAAACGGCAAATCGTATCCCAAGCGAGTGAAGTCCGGTGGCTTCACTTGCGCTGCAGCGAACAAGCGGGGAAGCGCGATCCAGCAATTGTCATAGAGATCAGTGGGAGGAACGAAGAAACGCCGCCGTTCCATCTTGCGTCGGTGGATCTAAAACGTGACCTCGTTACATTTTTACTGAAACGGAAAAAGGAACAGCCTTCCTCTTTTTTCGTCCTGTGGGGTAATTTTTATTTTATTTCTAAGAGGGCGATTCTAAAAGTATAAAAAACAATACCTTTACGAAGAGCACGATCTCGTGAACTTTTTGGTTACTTATCTGAGGCTTTATTTTGTGTGGTCCTCGCTTGGTAAATGTCGCGTGCAAGAAAGCCAGTGGACATTGATTCTTTTTTGAGTGCGCGAGACTGTGATAGAAAAAGCAAAGCCTTTAGTCAAATAAAAAGATAGGAAGAGGAACGTTTCAAACTCAACTACTTTCTTTGCTTCCACGAATGGTCATACACTCAGAAAGCTAAGGCCGACTACAGCCATCACTGAACTTCCACAAAGAGGCCTATGGTTACAACAAAATCACAGGTTACCAGACATCGAATGCACACTTGTATCCCAAACATTGGTCACTTAAAAGATAAACAAGAATTGTGCTTTATTTCTTCTCCCGTTGTCTCCCACCTTAAAACTGAACAACAAATCCAACCTTCACGAAGAAGGACTTGAAGTTTTCAAGACTGACTTTCCAAAAGCCCTGCTGTCTCCTTCAGTTGCTCGTCTTGTGGACAGCGACATCGAGAAGCAATTGTTGTTAAGTTCGAACAGGAGACTTCGTTAGATTAAAACGTGTGAGGTTGTTGTTAAACAACCGTGCAATTTGTAGTAACAATACATTTGGCTCGTCCTAATCGTCCACCACGAACATGAATATGGTTAAAAGCTGAGATTTGTAAACTTGAATATATCAACAAAAGAAACCCTGCTTCCGCTTGTTTTCTTCTCCTCGTGCCCTTCCATCAAGGTATTCAAACTCGTGCGTTCCCATTTGTTAGAATAGATAAAAAAAGACTCCGCTGAATCTAGCTAAGTATGGTAATCAGCAGAATACAAATGTAACGTACATGTAATGATACGTTCCATTTTTTAACTGTAACGGGAACGAGTTCCTTTTTTCACGGATGGAGCTTGTAACGGGAACGCGTTCAAAAATTCAGAAGGAACGAGGAACGACATTTCGTTCCTTTTTTCGTGGAACGTGTACAACACTATTAGCACCTTGCTAGCTTCAAGGGTAACGTGCCATCCAACGTTGTATTTTAGTGTCGCACGCATGCACCTAAGTTGTCCGCACTCGTGTTAAGACCAACATAAAATTTTCCCCTGGTGAGCTTTTGTCCGGGTCTGTAAAAAATAGGTGAGCTTTTGTCTGGTGAGCTTTTTTCCGGGATTCTGCATTTCAAGACTGCGTTTTGCTCGTGCCTTGCTTCTTGTTCTGTGTTAGGTCACTTGGCTTAAAGTTTTGTAGTCGGTTCAGCTTTTTTCTGGAGTCGGACGATCTCTAGTTCCGTAGTTTGTTCCGGGGATACATTTTTTCCATGGTTGAAAAATGCATTTCAGACACCAAGTACAAGACAGTGAGAAATGTAATTATGATAGAGGAGCAAATACTCTAGCCGAAACATATATGCAAGATATAAAAATTCCAACAAAAGTATTTGAAATACAGTATATCTCTAATATTGGCGACGTGGGCGACCAAGAGCGTCGCTTCGATCGGCCTTCCACGATTGGCCAAGCGCTCTCTATGATGTCATTAGTAAGATAAATTCTACTTTCCAAAATGACAACAAGAATAATGCCAGATCATGAACCTTGATGGTGTTGGTTTAGGAAGCAGTGACCACAAGCTTCCACCGTAATTTTTTCACACCATCAAAATTGTCGCGGGCGATCGATAATCCTAGCCGTGACGTCACAGATACGAACCGCAAGAGGGAGCCACCGAAACATCTCGTCGCCAATAGTATATAAGATAGGCTAAAATCCGATTTCAAGAAACGCAAACAACTGCTAACATACCGTTTCGAAGTTCACTATTTATAGTATGTCGTCGTTGTTGTTGATCGGCTTTAGTTATACAAGAAACAACTGGAGGTAGACACCGTGCACGAAGAAAAACCAAAGTGAGGTGCTTCTCTCAAAGAGCACAGAAAACAAACGTCGACACTGTTAAGCACGCACTTTGGGAACCACACGCCAATACCTGGATTGTGAGTTTGATCACATATGGACTTGTGAGCTCGATGGGGTTATTTTACGTACGCGGTCGGGTTGCGTTTAAAAGGGGCTAGTTTTGAAATAGACAAATTAAGCGGAACGCGTGGTTACTGAACCACTGTCATGTCAGCGACGACGTGCAGACTCAGTTCTCTCGAAGTTAGAAAACTGGCGGGGACGTTGGTGAATCGCTTGCAGACCAACTTGTCACTTGAAAAACAAGGCCGCAGCGGCCTTTTGTAATCGCCTTGCACCGCTCGCCCTAACTCCTCCTGCTCTATCGGCCAGGTTGAAATGCCTTGAGTGTTCGTCGTTCACGCTAGTCGGGTATCGCAAATCAGAGCTTTTTTTTTTCTGAATTCTTATGCTTTTTTGCAGACGAATCGGTCACCTCAAAACGATTCAATAAACATTAATTTCTTCGAAGTCCCCAAATGATTCGTGCCCTCATGTCCAGTTGCGTCGGCCAGTCCTTCGGGGACGAACCGTTCTCCTTAGCACGACCAACTAAAACTGCATGTCTTGTCATTACCTCTTTCATCCCATAGACCGATACGCTGATTACAAACAAGCCAGCGTTTGCCCACACCAGATGTGGCCACTGCGCATGCGCCGTATCGACAGCAGCGCCACCGCACCGGCATGACGTCAGTTGTCCCGCGTTGGTGCACACACTATAATGTGTCCGGAAAAACGACAAGGTGTTATATGGATTTCTATTTTCGAGAATGTAGCCTAAAGATTTACAACGGGGAATAACTACGGATTTAGCTCGTCTGTGTGAGACAGGACTATAAATGGGGACGCCGTAACGAGAGATGGCGCTAGCGTTAACGACGAAAATAAAACACCTAACACCTATACAGAGCTTCTAGTGCTAAGCTTCCAGTTATCAGCCTTATTTGGCTTGAGATGATGTAATGCTGCGTACACTTCCGGAGTACCAAACCCCGAAATGTTCGGGCTATCCCCAGGTCCGCTAATGCCATCTGCCTACATCTTGTTTGAAGCAGAAGCCGTCACCAGATCCTTTGTCTTCCCGGCGCGCAGACAGACTACAAGTCTAATCGAAAAACCGCGTGTTTTTGGTATGTTCCGAAAACACTCTAGATATATACATTTATAGCTCCTCCTTGACGTCATGGTGACATAACACATTACGTCACGTGAGTCGTGACCATAAGACGTGGCGTCGCAGCGTCAGGTGACAATCAGAAAACCACGGGGTAATTTGACCTTACGCCACGTGACCACGTGACGTGGGATCACAGTATCACATTACGTCACGTCATCACGCAATGTCATGTGACATCAGGAAAGAACATGGCTATCTGATCTCTACGGGACGTCACAGTGCTTCATGACGTCACGGCGGCACGTGACGTTACGGTGTCATGTGACATCACCGTGCCTCGGGACGTTACGTCACTTTACGTCATGATGTCATGTGACTTCCGCCACGCCTATGACCGTCGTCACGTGACCCCATCAGGTCATCGAGGCTACATCCCAGGTGCGGACGCGAAAGCGCCAAGAGCTGGCCTCATAAATGCCATGTTTTTAAATCGTAGTCGGTGCAGTTGTCGCTCCCAATTTTCTCTAAAGCTGCGGGATTTTCACCATCGAGAATAATCTGCATATTTGCTTGTCTATCTGGCTCTATCAGGTTTACAACATTCCGTCCAAAACCCGGGGCAGCCGTGGGGGTTGCCGATAAACTTAACCATCATGCCTGAGTACCTGAAAAGCCTAGGATATGCCACTCACATGATCGGAAAGGTGAAGCTGTTCCAAACCCAACCTTCTTCTTTCTCTAATGATTCCGTATTTGCTTACAGTGGAATTTGGGTTACTACAAAGAAAGCTACACGCCGACCCGAAGAGGTTTCGATTCGTTTTACGGCTACCTCAACGGTGGAGAAGACTACTATGACCACAAAATATTCTTTGTAAGCACATTCTTCAGACCGATGGCGCAATTTATTCAAAGTTGGTTAAGATACTATGCGCGGTATACAGGGCCGGATTAAAAAATATCTAGGCTCTGGGTTAATGAGCATCTTACCCTCACCTCCCTACTACACTACTGGAATATTTAGTTATTCTAAAGGATGTGAAAAAATTTAGTTGAAAATTAAAGCAGTCCAGCAATATCGACACCGAGTACTGGTGTTCGACGAAGTACCCATGTGCATGAACGTTTTCATCTACTTTCTTTTAATGAGAAAGGTCGTGTAAGGTGACGAAAGTCGGGCGGCTCGGAATAAAAAATAGCTTGCACTTTAAAGGGCAAAGATACCCCCTGATTTCAAATACATTAACCAGTGCCGCTCGCACGCTTTTTCATTTACAGCCCTTAACTCATAAAGCGTTTCTCACTTTTGTATATTCTTTCGAAAACAAAAGCGTCTTGCCCGACTTTGAAAATACATAGGCCTTTTCACGATGCATTCATCTCAAAACTTCGCAGTATAAACAGCTGGCCACTTTGGCTGGCTCACATTGGCCATTAACAGGGATTAGTTCATGCTGCTGGCGAGTGTGTCCCTAGCTATCGTCCAAATATGAAGGCAGCTGATTGGGCTTCTAGACGCACATATTGTGGGTCGGAGGACGAAATCTCCAAAAAAATAGGTGAGGGGACTCTTGGATTGTCGATTTCAGGATGCTCAAGAAATAAGCCTAAAGCGAAACACTGGCATTTTCTTTGTACTCCCAGATTTGTCTGAAAATTTGCTAAGCAAGGTGTGATTTTTTGTTCGTCTTCATGTTTCATTATTTCTTGCAACCAACAAACATCGCTGAAGCAGTTACCCCAAACTATTGGTCAAAAATACTTTCTTTTCGTGAAGTTTTTGAGTTTAAAATTTTGGTTCTCATCGGTGTTTTCTAAAACTGAAAGTCTCTACTGGCAAAAAATGAAGAAGTGACACCAGCAGCAGGCAGGGATTAACTTTTTCAACTATGAAATTCGTTTCGAACTGATTACAAGCAGTTTCATGTAGTCAAATAAATGCTTTGGAAGCTTGGTCCAGCTCCCTCGCAGCACTGCGAAACATATACTCGACATGGGCCATTTAGTAAACTGTCTGGTTGACGTGCAAGGCTCCCTGCAACTCACGGCACGGCACTAAAATCTCAAGTATATTTTAATGATAATTTTCGTGTCATTTTTATTTGCCGATTTCACGAAATTATTTCCAAATTTGGCAATAACGAATAATATTTCACAGAAGGAAAGTCCATGAATTAAAAAAAAAGTATTTAGTTAGGGTAGGCAAAAAAATCTCCGGACAAATAAGCCGGACGGCTAAATTAATTGACGGCTCACATTTTTGTTATATCCAATCCACATGAGTCACGCCACAGCAGAAATAAACTTGACCCAGTAAGACAGAATGAATCACTGCGTTGTCAGCGTGTATGCGCAAGCATTCATTCCAGTAGAGCCAATCAAGGGCCAAAGGGTAGATCCCTGTGTTCGTGTTCATTCTACCTTCATAACAAGCATGACGCCGCATGAACCAATAGGACCTTGAGACTATTTGTTCTCTATGGGAGAGTGCCCTATACAGGTTATTTATTCTTAAATACAGGCATATCTATTGGCGAATTCCTAGAGAATGCGTTAGCATGACCCTTGGAACGCCACAGATGTCCCCTTTGAACCATTCACATTTCTCTTTTGGCTTTCTCTTTTGACCTTCCCTTTTGCTTCAACTATTTTTTGTTTCCTCTTTTTTTCCTCATTATGGTGTCAGTGTTAGCGTTTCCCAAAGCGGGATGTGTGTGACGTTTCCCGAGGGTTATGCTAATGGGTTTTTAAAAATTCTCCAATGAATCTTGTGTAATTTTTTTTTTCACCACTATTCTGTACACTGCTTGCCAGAGTACGTCGACGCTTTTGGATTCGGTCATTTATATCACTCGTGGAAAGAACCACATCCATACCACTCGTGAAAGAAACCGCATCTATATCACTGGTGGAGGGAGCCGCATCCATCTTTTTAAGTACATACACATATATCACAGCCAACGCACAGCTACTACAGAAATCTAGAGCACCGGGTACGGCTGACCGGCAACTGAGCGCGCCCGTCCGCCGCACAGTGGCGCTGGGCACAAATTGGACACTATAATTGCATCACTTTTCGGCTCAAATTTCACTAGAAGCCGAGCGCTGACGCAGCACTCGTTTCCAATCCGTGTACATCGTTGGCCTTAAAGCTCATTTATAAGGAAGGTAGCGACATCATCACCCTCCCTCTCTGACGCGCACATTTTTAATCCTTGTTTCACTTTCGCACTCGCGCATGCACGCTAGCGCCGCCTGGATCGCTCCAAGATAACTGGCGGCGAAGCCTTGACGTTACACTTTTGGCGTTACTTGATTGGAGGCAACACTTCCTTCCCCGTGCACGCTCCCTTCTCTTAATATTTTGCTCTTTCGCACTCTCGCGCGTCGACCGTAGCGCCGCCTGGATTGCTCCAAGATAGCAGGCGACATTCCTCAAAAGATGTCGCTACTTTTCCGTATAAAAGGGCTTTAGGTGGACTTCTCTGATGACGTCGTGTCGTTTGTTATGTAGGAGGTGTTGCGCGGCGCCTCCTCCTCTCTGGCTTCGCGTCAGCTGTGCGCGTTACTAACGAAAACGAAAGGGCTTATTTTGACGAGAACCCGGCGGTGTCTGTCAGTAAGCACTGAAGCTTCTCAGCGTGAAAGGCGCGGCTTAAGCCTATATAAGCCACTCCAGCGAAGTCGACAGCACCTAGCAGCTACAACAGAGAGTATCGTGGCGGAAGGTTCCCTCGCCAGCGTTTTCGAGCGAATCAGAAATTCAAGGTGCCTGGCGGTCTGAAGACGAAGCCACAAATGTAGGTTTTAAAGCACGCGATGAATATTGCCAAAATATGAGGTATGCATTGACGGCCATGGCTGGCGTCCATGGCTGAGTCCATGGCTGCTGAGCGTGAGCTGATGGTGAACTTCCACGGTACTTTTGCAATATCCATTCAACGCCACAAAATTGTCAGCCCTAGCTGCCTAGAAATTTGAGCTCGTTCTAAGAGTGTGCTGTAAAAGGCGCGCTCAAATTTGACGTCCCGTTAGTACGCCTCGAGCAATCCACCCAACAGGGAATACCGGAGAACAAAACATTGCTTTGCTGAAACACCAAGGGAACATGTGCAATCTTCATCCCTGCTCGTTTCAATCCAAATATTTCATCCTTCCGGTTTGCGGTCGTGTATTACTACTGCGTAAGACCTCTAGCACTCGAACTAAAATGGCAAAATTTCGCATTGACAGCGGAGGCACCAGACGACCGTCATGACTGACTAACCCTTAGGGCTGACCTGAAGCTACTAAATGAGCTATGCTTAGAGTATTGACACTCCGTACCCTGATCTGCTAGTGGGCGCCGCCATCTCGGTGCTTTGTGCTGAGCAGGCGCAACTGTGGATTGTCACAATCCAAAAGTGCGACTTTCACAACTTTACACACGGTTTTAGGAAGCTGAGATGATATATGTATATATTTATTTATGTTTTGCTCAGTCGCGAACTGTTCTAACATTCCTGGAGGACGAATAAGCGTCTTCTGTAATTTAACATAAAGCTTCAAATAACTAGCAATCCAGATTTTAAGCACCAAGGTGACTGAAGTGTAGTTACTCTGAGGCGTAGCTTATTTAGTTGCTCTGGGCCTGGGGTCTCAAACACGTGGCCAGAGGGCCGCATGCGGTCCGCGACTCGCTGGGACGTGGCCCCCAGGCCCATCCGGCCTCCAAGTCCCCGTTCTCATTCCTCGGACGCTAGAAATGACATGCGCCAAGGTGATCTCAGCTCGCAGATTTTTATCCGCTCGAAACGTAACTCAGCTTTTTTTAACGTATTCACATAGTTTACACTTAGATGTATTAATGTTCTCTGGATTTCACCTTACTGTTTGCTTTCCTGCTTTTTGTCATTTTAATCATATGTACAACAATTCAGCCACTAGACTGCAAGCGTGAGCTCTAGGTTGAAGAACAAGTCTCGGCTCCACGAACTCTCAATCAGCAGGGGCAAGTGCCAAAAACAAAGATATGAGCTTCAGATTCTCGCCTTCAAAAAATATCAGCATTAAAATGCAAAGATTTTTCACTGTTAAAAGATCGTCAGTAAAGCAAGATGTGTCCTATTAACACTTTTCTTAGACATGTAAAGCTTGGTTAATTCCTGAGTGAATTGAGCGAGGGAAATGTCAGTGTGCTTGCTCGCTTGTCCTATTAGAAACCTCAACTATTTGGCGAGGCTGTGCATTTTAATTCTTGTTATCAAATGAGATCTGGGCTCAAAGTAGTCCTATATACAAATCAAAGCTAAAGCTACCACTGGCAAAACTGCGAGTTTACAAAAAGCATAAACATCGAGGTCCCTTCTCGCACGTTCATGTCTGACATGAAACAACCAAATGGAAGACTAGCGTCTTGACTGCACTGGCTTCGAGTTATTCGCACCGCTAGAATAGAAGGCCTGTTTTTAATTTTTTTCTTCATCAGCCACCAAAGAGCCGTGATGAGCATGACTAGATATTACACACTCTGTTGATGATAGTTATCCTAGTTGCAAGACTCAATTTCGTAGTGTCTAATGTTGAGTGTGTTTGTCTTGAATGTAATGTGAGTGTTTGTTTTCTTTTTAATAGTGTATATCTAAATTCATTCCCAGGCCAACGCAACCGGTCTGGACTTTTGGGATGGCATGACCCCAGTGAGAAATGAGGGGCACCATTATTCGACCGATTTATTCACCGAAAAAGCCCTGTCCCTTATCAAGGATCACGATCAAGCAAAGGTAGTCGCACAAAAATATAGTCGAACGCAGGGAATACCGCTTTTAATTACTATCATACCAATCACATTTTATCAACAAAAAGAAGTATCAAGGAATGGGTGTTTAGGACAAAATAGAAAATCGTTTTTTCGGCCCGCGTAAGAGAATCATGCATGGCGGCAAGCTGAAATTCCGTGAGAATAAGGCACTAGCGGGGGTGACATACAACGCGAATGTTTGAGAGCGTGACGTTAATTGGATACAAAACTAAAACGGGGAGACAAACGGTTGTTATAAGCCGAAGTCTAGTGAACCCTAATATTGTCAATATCAGAAATGACAATTGTGGACGCAAGTGGCATTTATATAATGAAAAAAAAAAAAACTCTCTGCAGCGAGAAAGAATTTTTTTTCTTTCCTTGCTTAGAAGTGTTGTGTATGTGTGTGTTGTTGTTGTTTTTCCAAATAAATAAATCCTACAAGTCGCCAAAATGCGATTTGTTTAGACAACATTGGCCTTCGGTCTAGATATCATGGAAATTCCGTCTTTTTATTTTTATCTTTTGAACCAGCTAAGGTCATGTTCTTCAACTTTCGCATTCTACCACCAAAAATGGGGGTGTCTGCAAAAAAAAAAAAGAATATATATATATATATATATATATATAGGCGTAGACTTTGGGGGGGGGGGGGGGGGCTCGTGCCCCCCCCCCCCCCCGGGCCATGATCCTTACCGACACGCTGTTTACGTGGATTACTGCTTCAGAAACACAGGGGCCTAGGTTCTACCCCCAGAACTTCGCAGCTGGCACAAGCATTTTGTTTTTCAGTTTTGTGCTCACCGCCGCATGCGCCGTGGTACCGGCGAGGAACACACGGCTACGCTTGCACGGTGATTGACATTGACACACAGCGACGGACACATGGCGATATACATACGCTGCAAAATGTACCCCCTAAAATACACTACTGATAATTGCCGGTGTAAAAAAAAATTCCGCGGAAAAGCACCCCCCCCCCCCGGAAAACTTCCCAGCCTGCCCCCCCCCCCCCCCCCCCCCCCGGGAAGATGGAAAGTCTGCGCCGCTGTATACAAATATATATATATACATGTATTTTTTATTATAAAATCTAACTACGTATCTTTGAACGCTGTGGAGCTATAGCGGTCTGAAACGTCAAAGTTTCAAGACGACCGGATATCTTCCTTAGGAGTTATGAGTCATTTTCTAAAAGTTTTAATGGTAGGCGACTGAGCCCTTGAACATGCCGCGGCAAAGGGCGCTGCATACATAGAAAAGACCAAATTTTCTCCTGAAAATTTAAAAAAAAAATAACTCATGACTTTTTAATAAGATAACGGTTAGTTTTGAAATTTCGCGACTGGTTCGGACACCGCTATCGTGCGAAAAAACAAGTGTTCCGCGGTGCACACTTTATTTTCGCGGTAAAAAGAACAAAAAACAATAATCTATTTTTTTAGGGGCGCTTGAGGGGGGGATAAGCTGAACCTTTCTTACGTTATTTTAAGATATGTCACTGTAAAATATGGACTACTTTGTCCATCCACAGCCAATGTTCCTGTACTTCAGTCATCAGGCAGTCCACTGCGGAGACTACAAGGTGAAACTGGAGGCACCTGCTTCGGCTGTCGCACATTTTCCCTACATTAAGAGCCAGAACAGATCAATACATGCAGGTAAATTTAAGATCACTGTTATATGTGTATGTATATGAATATGTACATGCACTAAATGATTGTGTGGGCCGATGATGAGATCTTCGTTTAAACGAAGCTGTGTAACGCTCTAAGGTTATTGCTCTAACGAGAAAGAAAGAATTAATGGTCCTTAAAAACTTTCGTTTATGCTCACCCAATTGTAACGCCATACTTAGCTATGTAAAACTGACTCACACTTTAATATAAACGTACAAGTTAAAACAAAACAGAATCATGTAGCATAGAGGTTGTCAACTCTTGCGTTTGTATATTTACTGATGAACTTGATTACTCGCAGTTTTACTGTAAGTAATCGTGCAGAAATATACAGAACCGAGGACTAAGCACTGATGCAAGTAATCAGAACAGAAATCTGTCCAACCGAGGACTAAGCGCAAATATATTGGCAGACACAAGAACTGCAAACATAAGCTGACGACTTGCGGCGTTGAAGCGTCTTTGAATCTCCTAAGGTAACGCGTGTCTTGGCTTACGTTGTCAATTGTATAAAGTACGTTTCAGACAGAAGCTTTGTATGTTGCCTCAAGAGAAAATATATCAGATTGAATAGAAACCATCCTCAAATAGACCCTCTGCAAAAGTGCGCAGATTGATGTTGCTCCTGCGCCAATTAACCGAGCCCCCATGTCTCTGAGCATGCATTGGGCATGACGGTACACGTCATCGTTTGGTGAGTAACCCGATTCAATCACACGCTATGTGCCCAAAAATGACGACCTCGAATGTTGCTTGATGAGGTTTTGAAAAGTGAATACTATACTCGTGAGTTTGCAGTACTTTCAACCCCTGATATTTACAGAAATATTTTAAGTTGCAAATATATGGGAACTAACAGAAGTGTTGTAAGTTGGGCGAGTTGGTATGACGACATGATAAACAAAACGTGCCCTGCGTGTCTTTCACAACGTTTTCCTCTTCTTCCTTTCGTGTATAAATTAAGTTGCGAGTCAGCGCTTGTGTGTCCTGCATGTTCCTTTTCTCTGTCCTTGTCTTTGTGTGCGCTGTTCTGTTTATAATGGGAACTAAGGTTACCACCCTAAGACTGAACGACTTGCATATGATGCCGGAGGTAATCCTCGTAATAATATGGGAAGCACTTTTACAGTCATTCCTTGTGGATATGAACAATTAATCCACGTTCATTGTCAGGCGCAGTGTACGAGCTGGATAAATCCGTTGGGCTGGTGGTGGAGGCGCTGAACAAGCGGGGCATGCTGAGTAACAGCATTGTGGTCTTCAGCACGGATAACGGAGGTCTTCCGTGGGGCATAGACCCCAACAGTGGCTACAACTGGCCTCTCAGGGGCGCCAAGGCCACCCTCTGGGAAGGGGGCGTCAGAGGAGCCGCCTTCGTTTGGAGTCCTCTGCTGTTCAAGTCTGGACGTCTCTCGAACCAGTTGATGCACATCACCGACTGGTTGCCAACTCTCTATTCAGCAGCCGGTAAGATGCAACATGCCTGTTTTTTTTATTTTTTTATCTTTAATGTTGTATTAGAGGGTAATAGGGGATTCACCAAATTAGTCGTTAGTTGTTTAGACAGGCCTGCAAAGAATGGCGACATTGTTTTCACTGTGAATGAAACATTTAGCCTGTATGTTGCGACTGGGTGACTGGCGTCATTAACGCGTTCATCACACCGCAGTGATACACGACCGTGCGATGGTCATACAGATAGATTAAAACGGGCAGGGTTAGGGATTGAACACAGGATCTTTAAGGACTGCAGCGCGAGCTTTCGCTTAACGTGCTCCGAGCGTCGGTAAAACAGCGAATTCGCCTTCATCAGGCTCCAGACGTTAAGTTTTCCGCCTCGCATTCATTTACGACAAACATATATATATATATATATATACATTTTTTTTATGTTCCCGTGAAGGAGCGGTTATCACTTAGCCCTTATCACATTTCTTTCTGGACACAACATTCCTCATAAAATTCGCTCACAAAAATTTCGTACGAACCAATTTCTCAACTTCCGGTTGCAGCTTGCCATTTCCTAGTGGAACTTTCTGCCTCATAATATTTCGCAAATGACAGCTAGAACAAAGTTCAAAACATCCTATGAATTATTACTCTGCGGTACTCATGAATGATGCTTGTGTGCGTTTGAATTTTTTTGCATTGTATTTATCGACATGGGCTAGATTGTTGTGGTTCTGTTTTCTAAGAAGTACGTTATTGCATGTTGCATTTTGTGTCACCAAATCTTGTATCCCCCCTTATATAGCGCCCTCATCAGGCGACCTGGAGGAATGTTCAAATAGAAACCAGTAATAAAAGTATAAAAAAATTGAATAGACTCGAAAATTTACCCCCAACCCTGTTTTATTTAAATCCGAACAAACCGAAAACCCCGGTTTGAAGGTGACCTGCAGAAAAAGGAATGTTTACGGACAGAAATTATTTATCTAGGACACTTCATTTCTTCGGAACCACACATTTTATCACGTTCCTTTTTCTTATGGGCACCAGGACGTTTTCCAAATATTCGGGTTACGCGGGTCTAAACTATTTATAACAAAGGAGCCTCTGGCTACCTGAGTGCGATTATCCTAGTAGGATAAGATTATTACTAAATATTTGGTTTAAAAAAAAGCAATGGATGGTGTATAATAAGCTTTTTAATCGTGTTCCTTTTCACAAATGATCCAGGGGAGCGACCAAAAATATTAATCATCAACGTCAGGCGACCAGGTTGTACGCAACCAGAGTCGTCTGTAAATCTTGATACATAGTTCATCGCATTCCAGGAGGAAACCTGTCAGCGCTTGGCAACACCGACGGCAAGGACATGTGGGAGGCCCTATCTCAAGACCTGGAATCCCCTCGGCATGAGATCCTCATCAACATTGACCCGACGGGCAACAACTCGGCGCTCATTGTCGGGCGGCGTAAGGTAGTTCTGGGAACGTTCCAAGGAGGACAGCACGACCTACGCATGAAGGCCCCTGGAGGCTCTCGTCCCGTGGATGGTCTAGACAAAATGATGCTATCGTCTAGAACCGGAAAAGTGCTGAAAGATTTCTACAACGTACGCCAGCTCAGGGTTAGGCCTAACTGGCGCAATGAGACTGTCGTGAGGTGCGACCAGTACGCCCCCCGGGACAACTTCGTAGCTGCTAGTCCTCCGTACTACTTTGACCTAGAACATGATCCCTGCGAGCTGAACAACTTGGCTGCTTCCAACGTGACGGTAAGTACGCAAACTAGAAATGTATACCTGTCTCGCAATGAAAATACTATCGCTGCAAGCGAAGAACCGCACCACCTTTGAACACGAATAAATACGCACATCACAATTCAAATGGTTGCGGAAAAGTATGCACATAAGAACATTCTAGTTCACTTTAGATTAAACTTGAAGCATAGGAAATTTTAGCTTTCACAATACACAGAAGAGAAAAAATGCAGGTAGGTATGAAAAATGTGTCGTCTTGTCCGTCTTTGTGTCAATCGTTTCAGTAACGTCTTATTCCATTAACGTGGTCATTTTCTAAACTTCGCCATCACTACGCACCACAAAAATTCCTTACAAATACAGAGTAATCAGGTCATCAGGCACTGATCCAGAATGTGTAACGTCTATCAGTAGTATGGAAAGTATAGGTGACCACGCCCTGATCCATATTGAAACTTCACAGAAGGTTAACCGCTCCGCGAATATTCCAAAGCAAATATTCGTATTTTCGCGTGCTAATAACGATGGGATGACGGCAGCCATACTAAACTTCGAAAGATATTAATGTCATCTCATGACGAGAGAACCGCAAGTGAAAACTGGCTCCTTATTAAAAACATGTTCATAGAATTACTTCACACTTTTGTGCCAAAAACTGCTATTCCATCTGACCTTGCATCTCCTTGGTTTACCAACAGTCTAAAACGCATGTTAAACAAAAAGAAAAGACTATTCTTAAAAGCAAAAAGACTGGACGACTTCGCTGCTTGGTCATCATATCGCTTTCATTCAAAGTTGTGTAAATCCGAAGTAAAAAAAGCAAAATTAACATTTTTTTCCGTCACCCTACCTAACATTCTTTCCACGGACCCCAAGAAGTTTTGGAAAATAGTTAATCCAAAAGAAACTAAGAATAGCCCTTCGTTCCTAAACGACCAGGGAGAGGCACTTAGTGATGACCAGACGGCCAATTCGTTAAATTCATTGTTTTCCAGTGTATTTACACGTGAAATATTTGCACTGCCATCTTACTCTCTATCTCATCAGGAAATATGCATGCCTCCAATCTTATTCATCCCGGAAGGAATCCACAAGGCAATTCAAAACCTGTCTTCTAATAGCGCCCCTGGAAATGATGGTATCTCGGCCAAACTACTAAAAATGACACAGCAATCAGCATCAAAAATACTCAGCGCTCTTTTTCAACAAAGTTTAAATTCTGCTGATGTACCAGCTGACTGGCGATTCGCCCGAGTTCAACCCATTTTCAAATCGGGCAAAAAATCAAATCCATCAAATTACAGACCTATCTCACTCACCAGTGTGCCGTGTAAGCTTATGGAACACGTTATTTATTCTAATATTATCTCATACCTGGATTAACGCAACTTTTTTTCCCCAACCAGCACAGTTTTAGAAAGCGCCACTCATGTACTAGTCAACTGTTTGAGTTTGTCACGGATCTTCATTTTAATAATCATTCCTCACTACAAACAGACGTTATATTTATAGACTTTGCCAAAGCATTCGATACGGTCCCCCACCAACGACTACTTCTAAAACATTCTCTCCTCCAGATTAACCCTGTAGTAATAAAATGGATAGCTTCGTTCCTAACAAATAGACAACAGTCAGTTTCGGTGAATGGTTCTTCATCTAACTCAGTCCCAGTATCTTCAGGCGTCCCCCAAGGTAGCGTTCTCGGCCCCCTTCTTTTTCTCATTTATATCAACGATCTTCCCTCTTCGATTACCTCAACTATCCGCCTATTCGCAGATGATTGTGTTATTTATAGAAAAATCTTAGACCCGACAGACCATAACGTCCTCCAAAATGACCTTGATGCTATATCTTCCTGGTGCTCAGAATGGCAGATGACGGTTAACCCCAACAAATGTAAACAAATGACCGTTACTACGAATTCAAGCAAATCATACAGCCAATATACATTACTCATGCAGCAACTTGAATGTGTTTCACTATACAAATACTTAGGAGTAAACATCTCTGAAACTCTCTCATGGAAACAACACATCGATAACTTAGTCACCAACTCATTTAAATCCCTAGGTTTCTTAAGGCGCACCCTACACTTGGTTCCACTTCAACAAAACTGCTAGCATATAAAACAATCATTCTCCCTAAACTAGAATATGCAAGTATCATATGGCATCCGCATCCAAATTATCTTTCTTTGAAATTAGAATCTGTCCAAAGCAAAGCAGCCCGGTTCATATCAAACGACTTTTCGCCTCAAACTAGTGTCTCAGCTTTAAAAACAAATTTGGGTCTCACTCCATTGTCTACCCGGCGCAATATTTACCACATATGTTACTTTCATGACTTATACTACAGCAACTCGTGCTTTAAAAACACCTATTGTAATTCCGCACATTATATTTCTCCTCGAACCGATAATTCCTGTAATGTGCAGCAATACCAGTCACACACTAATTCCTTCCTGTTTTCACCCTTAATATTATCGATTACTGAATGGAATAACTTGCCAGACGAGAGGGTTACTAACACAAATCACGTTGAATTTAAAACAATGTGCGAGCGCCTCTGGCATGAATAGTACATGTACATGCTTGTTTGTTGTTTTCATAGTCGCTTTCCGTTTCTCCATATTGAAATTGTTGTTTTATACATAGTTACGTCCAGTTCATAATTGCAGTTGTGTACGTACGATGTGATTTCCTTTTTGTAAACTGTGCTGGGCTGATTGCAAGGATTTTGTTATACCAATGATTGTGTTTGGAAAATTGTGTTTCTATGTTGTTACAAATGCATGTACCAGCTACCCCCCTCATGTAATGCGTCCTCAAAGACGCCCTTGAGGTAAATAAATGAAATGAAATGAAATCCTAAATTATATATCGTAATGATACAAAGGACCAGAGACGAATCCAAGGGAGGGGGCGACGGGGGTGGCCGCAGCCCCAAACTAAGTCAACCCCCCCCCCCCTTCTCCCTTCCCCCGTCAAGTACTTGTACTCTGAACTTGGAGAATCACTCAGTCGAGTGGGAGAATAGTATCCTTACAAATTCCCCCCCCCCCCTCCACACACACACACAAACGGAGTTCTGGATTCGCCCCTGCAAAGGACTTTGGTTATTTAGGAATGGGGCAGCGGTGGTGGAGTTTGAATAATAAAATTATTTCCAATGGAAGATGTCTAAAGATGAAGGTGTGCCGAGAAGTAAACTCCTATTAAAACATTATTCATAGAAGACATTCTTACTCTTGAGTCTGGTCGGCCTTGTAGCAGAAAATTTAACATTGTCTCTGTTCCCGCAATTTATCGAGTGAGCTTAACATTGCATCTTTTTTTTTTTCCCCCTGCCGATCAGCCATGACCAGCGCGATGTATTAAGGCAACACAGAGATGGTGTAGTCATTAAATAAAAAAGTATAAAAAGTGAACGATGTACGGCATAGAAAGACAAAAAGGTAAAAAGGAAGTTATTTTTACGGCGAAAACCTCAAACCAAAAATATTAGTTCTTTGTTTTAAATGAGTTATTTTACCTATTGCTGCAAATATCGATATAGCTCGCGCCAAATCAGAGCTACTTTCAGTAAACCCCAACTTGCCGCGATAATTGGCTTCGAAATTGTCGTCTCAATGATATATAACCAATATTTAAAAATTATTCATTCGCCATTTTTTTTAATGCATGCCATGCCGTCTTTGCTTATTTTATGATGTGACGCCATTATTTTTGTATAGAGTTAAAATTGCTTATAAAGTATATCAGTTATTCTAAAGCGCTATATAGAATAACGTTATAAGAGGAACTCCCAAGTAGCGCTCATTGTAAATGTCATGTAATCGTGTGATTGTAATTATTATATTATTAATTCGTTTATTTACATCATCCTTGATGGTGGGGGTGAAAGAAAAAGCTATAAAATACAGCTTGACAATGCCCTTTAACCCCTACCTAGGCTTAACAGCAGAGGCGTAGAAACAGTAGACAAAACAAACAAAAAACAGAAGTTCAGTACACATATACAACCAAGAGGAACAAATACATCGTAAAGTAATAAATTAAGGGCAAAAAACACCGCCACTTTAATCATTAACATTTAGTAAACAATCTAAGTTGTTCGGATAATATTATAACTAAATCCAATTCACTGTGATATAATTGGCTGGATAATTTAGGCAGCGTATATCTAATCTTCTGAGAGTCATAATTTGTTCCTCGTGTGACCATCTCTTTACGATCTAAAACTTATCTGATACTCTCAATTATAACGAATGTTTTTATGAGCGACGAATGCGACAGGACTTTGTGTCTCGCTCTACGTGATATGCCAATCGAATAAATCTTGAAAAGGTTCTGCCACGACTGGAAACAGTATTCCTGTAGTCAGAAAACATATTTTAAAGATAAAACGATATGGTTTTATTCTCCGCAGGATCTTAAGGAGCTCATCAAGAAGATTGAGGAGTACGGCAAGGGCATGGTGCCGCCTGGAAACAAACCGCTGGATCCCAAAGGACTGCCACAAAACAACCACGGCTTGTGGGGCCCCTGGCAATGACAACATTTTAAAAGAACACAAAACAAATATAATAGCATTTACGTTTGAAAAACCAATTTCGAGTATGCTTCCCTTGTAAAGAAAGAAGTATACTTAATTTTTTGCGAATAAAAACAAGAAGGACGTTCTGCGACAATCACACTCTTTCTATCGCCAAATGAATGTGGTTGTCTGTGAACGTCCTCCGTGTTTTTCTGATTTCTATTTTAAGTATTCATAATTACAACACGCTCGATTTAACCAGTAAAAAATATGTTTTGTTGATTATGCGCAGCCCAACATGCGCAGAAAGTCCCACAACCCGAGACACGGAAAGACTCGTACTGCCCAGATTAAGCTTTTCATTTACACCGCATGGAGAGCCCGTCATTCTTCAAGAAGACATAATTACCGTTGTAACTGCTCTAACTATATATATATATATATATATATATGGGTGAGTTGTGTAATTCAACGTTACCCCAGGCCATATTTCTCACATAAGTAATTATGATATAAGTATAGAACCTCGTTCATACGTTGTTGGTTGACACGTTTTCTCGGTTGTTACGTTCACCAGTTCCTGTCCGGTTGAACATCCCATAGGTACATGTGCCTCGATTTTTTGTGGCGTTTGCCCTCCTGCCTTTTTTGTCCAAAAACTGCGTTCTGCTACCCTCTTCGTTCTGTTTCGTTTCCCATATTTTTTACCTCTGCCTTTCCCCCGTCACGCTTTTCTGTTCTAAGTTTCATGCCCGGGCGATCGTGCTCTTTAACTAGGCTGATAGGGGGTTAAAGCTTTTGAAACAACCCGAATATAAACGTAGAATGGCATTTTTAAAGTATTTCGAATGGTCGCCTCTCTTCTCTGACCTTGATTCGACATAGCGTCCCCTCCTCACCGCCAGAGTTAGGCAAGATCTTTTCAGCCGATCACAGCTGGTGGGCTCAGAGAGCTCCGACATTTTCGCATCCGTCACGGAAGTGAAACTTCTTCATATTGGTAATGTATAAAAAAAGGTTTCACACCGTACGATGGACGATTGAACGAAATTTACGCTCGCAAAGTGTTAAATTGACGGCTGTGACGGACTATAGACTGTTCTAAACTACGGCATGTAAAAAAAAAAAAAAAAAAAAGCAGCTTGTGAATTGATTTTTTTGCAGAACGGAAACAAAGCCAATGTTTGGAAAGAGTTTCAACTCTTTCCAAACATAGTCGTGTTGCGTAGTCGTGTTGAATAGGCCTCAATTGTATGGAACTGTATTGGAGTAAAAAATTCAGGTGTAATTGAGAGTGTTCAACGTAGGTTCGTTCGTGTTTTGTTTGATCGTTATTTTCAACCGAATTATTTCTATAGCTATGAGAGGATTTGTGAACTCGTGAAGTTAGACTCGTTGCACAGCAGGAGAACAATTTGTGAAATGACATATTTGTATAAGGTATTAAATGGTATAATTGATTCCCCAGAGCTACTTAGCGACATCTACTTGCAGGTTCCTCGTAAATCTTGTAGACTTTATACTTTATTTTACCCTACCGACGTTTACCATGTTGCACCCATGACACACCTACAACTGACTTATAACCATTTAGAACAGATTTGTGCGAATGCTAGCTCCCCCCCCCCCCCCCCCCCCCCCGCCTTTCAGTGCCCAGCTGCACCCCCTGGAGTGCTGCACCCGGGGCGGTCCGCCAGCCCCTTGTGGCGCCACTGCTTGGGAGTAACATTCAGCTATATGTGAACGCCGTAGAGAATTTTTTCCCCAATACATAAAATTGAGAAGCTCGAGGCGTAGACGTTACCGAGATTTCACCATGGTAATTTGCACAGCCGCCAATGTCACACCAAAGCAGGCACGCAGTTAAAATGTTTTTTTATTCATTTTATAGAAAATTCACAACATGCACACCAAATATTAAAAATTACAATTATATATTTCTATAAAACAAAATGCAAGCCGTTTACAATTCCCTGTAACGCCGGTTAGAGCGCAGCTCTTGAGGAGGAAGATAGAAGCGTACTGAGGGATAGGTGACTACTTGAGGTCACGTGACCTCAAGGGGGTCACGTGATTTTAGGGGGTCACGTCACTTTAGGGGGTCACGTGACCTCAGGGGGTCACATGACCTGGGTGGGTCACGTGACCTGAAGGGGTCACAACCTGAGGGGGTCACGTGATTTAGGGGGGTCACGTGACTTGGGGAGTCGCGTGACTTTGGGTGTCACGTGACCTTGTGGGTCACGTGACCCTAGGGGAGGGGTTACGTGACCTCTGGGGGCCACGTGACCTTGGGGGTCATGTGACCTTGGGGTCACGTGACCTTGTGCTGGTCTTGGGGGTCACGTGACCTTGGGATGACCTTGGGGGTCACGTGACCTTGGTGACGGCGACGGCGACGCCGTTCAAGCCGGGAACGGGCCCCTAAGAGCTGCGCTCTAAAACGAAGCATGTAAAAAAAGAGACGTTTCAAAAACACTTTTGCAACTGATTTACCAAGAAACAACTTCATGCAAAAGCAAAATATATCAAAATGTGCGTTTTGAAACTGACCGTCCTTGTGTGCGCGCTTGAGTTTCAAGGCAATCTGCCATTCAATACTGTTCGCAACTGCCGGCAGCTGTGGTGTCTGTCGACAGTTTTATTCTGCGGGGCGCAGAATGAAAGAGACATAGTCGCTGTGGACTAGCAGGTCAAAAGGGTTTATCTTACACTAAGGTCAGCAACGTATGTACAAAATGTGAAAGCCGTTTACAACTCCCTGTAACGCCGAATTGGAGCGCATCTCCTGAGGAGGAGGAGGGGAGGGTACTTAGGGGAGGGTAGGCCCCTCCTCCTCCTCCTTCTCCTCCTCCTCCTCCCCTCATTCTTTGATATGCTCCGGGGGGTCACCTGACCTCGCGGGGAATGGGTCACGCGACCTCGGGGGGGGGGGGGGGGGCGGTTCGCGTGACTTCGGGGGGGAGGGGGGTCACGTGACATCGGGGAGGGGGCCACGTGACCTCGGGGGGGTCACGTGACCTCGGGGGGTCACGTGACCTTGGGGGTAAACGTGACATGGGGGTCACGTGACCTTGGGGGGTCACGTGGGGGCCACCTTATGGGTCACGTGACCTTGGGAGGGGTCACGTGACCTGGGGGTCGCGTGACCTTGGGCGTGACCTTGGGGGTCACGTGACCTTTGGGAGGGGTCACGTGACCTGGGGGTCACGTGACCTTGGGGTGACCTTGGTTACGCCGACGGCGACGGCGACGCCGCTCAAGCCGGAAACGGGCGCCTAAGAGCTGCTCTCTAAAAGAACACCAACCAGTCCGCCATGCCAAGCCATGCACAAGCCCGCGAGAGTCTCACCGCGCGTGAACTACCTCGACGTCTTTTTCTTACGCGCGTGAACTCCGACATGCTATATCCAACATCCCCCTTTCTTAGAATAGAGGGAACATAGCTGGACTGTATACAGTTCTACAAGTATTTCTTGAGTTCCGCGAGTTCACAGCTCTGGACACAAGAATTGCTCCAAAGCCCTCTTCACGATGGCTGAAAACGTTTTGGAGGAATTATGCACTTCCCACTATTAGTGTGCTCGTGTGTTGGGTCGTAACACGACGTAGGGACTTTTGTACTTGTAGATGTGTCTCCACTGTCATCCATAGCAGGCGAAGACTGCTCCGGAAGCGGTACTAAGTGAGTGCGGTCACGGCGTACGGACTCTCTCTCAGTTTCTACCCAGTAGGATCTGGGCTCATCGGCCTGACCACTGATGACGCCTTGGCGCTGGAGGTCTGCCAGCCAGAAGTCTGTACCATTGTCTAGTGGGGACAGGTCCCGGACGCCGTGAGGCCAGTCGAAGTCTTGCTTCTGTTTTCGACGACTTTCTCTCTCGAATAGCCTCAGGTGTTTCTCGTCGGGAGTATGAGGACGAAGACTCTCGGAGGCCACTGGGAGAGTCGTACGAAGCTTCCTTCCCATCAAGAGTTCGGAGGGGCTGTACCCGTTTTTGAGGGGGCTTGTTCTATATGCAAGCAGTGTCTCGTAGGGATCTTTTGATTTGTCTAAGGACCCATTTATTATTTTTACCGACGCTTCGGCGAGCCCGTTGCTTTGAGGGTAGTGCGGACTCGAGGTCACATGGCGGAAGCTATACTCTTGTGAAAACTTCGCAAATTCAGAATGGCATGTCTTAGAAAACTGTGGTCCGTTATCTGAGATAACCACTTCCGGAATGCTATGTCTGGGGAAAAGAGACTTGCAGTGGTTGACTACCGCGGCTCCGGTAAGGCTGCTCAGGCGGACTAGCTCTGGGTAACGCGAGTAGTAGTCAACCACTATCAGCCACCACTGACCACTGAGGTACAAAAAAGTCCATTCCCACCTGTTGCCATGGTCTTTCAGGGAACTCCATTGACTTCAGTGGCATTTGTCTGTTTCGACTGTGTTTTAGGCAGATGTGGCACTATTTAACAAGATTTTCCACGTCTGCGTCGATGTTGGGCCACCATACAGAACTTCTGGCTCTTGCTCGGCACTTTTCTATGCCGAAATGTCCTTCATGAAGTTGGACGAGGACTGACTTTCGGAATCTTTGAGGAATGAGGATCCTGGTTCCGCACATCAGGACGTCTCCGCCCATAGCAATGTCGGATCTGTGAATCCAATAGTCTTTAAGGTCGGCTCCTATATCTCGGCGACTTGGCCATCCAGTCGCACAAAATTTGCTGATACGTTGGCATTCCTTGTCCACTTTCTGCTCAGCAGAGATTTGCTTAAGGCTTGGCGGAGTCACCGGCAGAGATGACGTCACGTGGTATACGAAGCCTCGGATCTCCTCGGCGAGCTCCGTCGTTCCAGGCCGTTGAACTGGAGACCTAGACAGGGCGTCAGCCGCGGTGAGATCCTTTCCTGGAACGTAGGAAATGGTATAGGTGTATCTTATGAGACGCATTCGCATTTCGCATCCTCTGGAGCCGTGGCGTTAAGTCGTCGAGTGTTTTGGATCCGAAAATTGAAATCAGGGGTT